GTTGGGAGAGGCTTCCTGTACAAGGTGGGATTTTCACTGAGACTTGAAGGAAGCCAGGGAAGTCAGAAGGCAGAGATGAGGTGGTTTCCTAAGCAGAATCAAACAAAAGTGAGGAGAGCACATCATGGCAGAGAGAACACTGAAATGAAAGCATGGAGACCCAGGTTTAGTTCTAGCCTTGCCCTTGTCTTGCTACTAACTAGCTATGTGAACCTGGGCAACCCATTACCTCTCTGGGCCGAGGTTTCTTAAGCCGTACATCAAGGGGCTTGAACTAGATCATTTTTAGAGCTCCTTCTGATTCTATCATCTGCACTGAAGCTACCAAAACCCCACCTATTCTGCCAGTGATACAGAAATAACAGGTAATGTTTCAGATGGTGCTAACAAGTTGAACAATGATAATCAGTGAGGTAAAGTTTCTGGTATCTTAAAGGCAAAGACCTCATCTTATTTATCTTTACATCTTCCCCATAATTAGTCTACAACACACATACAATATGCTAAATGTTACTGAATTTTGAATAAATGAATGCTTGAAGAGAGCTGCTTAATCTTTTGATGATTAATTTTGCAGAAAGATAGCAGGTCTGGTGCCCCTTAGGTCAAGACAACTGCATGTCCTCCACCTCAACTTTAAAAGTATCAAATCCTGAAATTCAAGTGGACATCAGAGCCCTTTTGAAGGGCTTCAACTTTATGTTATCTGTAGTATTGGGATCACAGAGAAGTAATCTCAGAAGCCATCTACTTCAGCCTCCTCATTTTACAGATGAGGAAACTGAGACCCAGGGAAATAAGTGTTAATTGTTCAGCCTCACACAGCCAGCAAGCTTCAGGGGGCAGGATTTGGACCAGGTCCTCTGACTGGAAAGCTAGTATTATGCTAAGATTTCTCCCACGTAGACAACTTCTTCACCCACAGCATTCTGGTTAAGTGAGATACTCCTCTAGTCAAGAAGTTATCAAACACACCACCACCGAGTACAACACTCCAGTGAGGCCCAAACCATGGCCCAAATTTTATTAAATGTGGCCCAAATTATAAAATGTAATGGGGAAATATTTCTTAAAAATACATAAAAGTACAATAAAACATAGATAACATTACATTTTAAAACTAAGTCAATATGTAGCCAATAGGAAAGGATCCTTATGTACAGTTTAGTGGCCCCATTTCTATTTAAGATGACAGGACTCATCAGAAAAGACCCTGATGGGGTCTTTTGATGAAAGACCAAAGGCAAAAGGAAAAGAGGATGGCAGAGGATGAAATAGATATAGAGTATCATGGAAACAACGAACATGAACTTGGACAGACTTCGTAGCAGAGGATAGAGGGGCCTGGTGTGCTATGGTCCATGGGGGGTCACTGAGTCAGACACAACTGAACAACAACAAAAGATCAAATTCGACCTCTTTGTAAAGCTATTAGCACAGTACTTGGTATATAGCATGAACTATATAAATACTAGCTATCATTATTATAATATGCTTATTAATAAATAACAAATATACTTAAAAGTACTTTTACTTCTTGCAAGGGCTCTAGCAACCTGATGGAGGGAGAAGAGGAATCATGAAAGGTCTCAAGTAGATGACACTTGAACTGAGCTTTGAAGGAAGTTATGGATTCTAGGAGTTGAAGGGAAGGACATAATATTCCAGGTGTTCAGGGAATGGATCGTCAAGTGTATGAGAAAGTGCTGCTTATGAGAAAAGGAGAAAGCTTCTCCTCCAAAATATAGTCCTTGAGCAAAACTCAGGCAGCTTTCTGCCTCCGCAGTAAGATATTGCTTTGGCCTTAATTATTCTAAACAATAAGCAAATACAGCACTTTAAAGTTTGCAAAGCATTTCACAAATATTATCTCATCTGATAATCACAACTCTGTGCAGTTATTACTATACCTATTTTACAGATGAGAAAACCTAGGCTGAGAGGGTAAGTAACTTGACCATGGTCATATAGCTGTCTGAGGCAGAATTTGAACTCAGCACTTTATCCACTAAACCACCTAGCTATTTCTGGAAGTCCTCAAGTGTTCCATAAGTGTTTCTTGGTAGACATTAAGTCAGGTCCTGTTTCAGGTACCCTGAATGAGGCTGTGAGATAGGCAACAGTTATGCTTGTAGCTAAACCAATGATATTTTCCAATACTCACAAGTGACCAGTCCCTCACGGTCCTGGAAAACCAGGTACTTAGTAACTTCCTTGACTAGATGACATGAATGCAGGAAAGATCTGTGACAGTCAAGATAGGAACTCCTGGTATGGAAGTTTCCTCCATTGTCTGGCTGGCAGATACGTCCTACAGCATTGGAGCTGTGTGACCTCTAGACAAAAGGACGTTAAGTGACTTGTCCCTGAAGTCACAAAGTGTTAAGTTACTAGTGACAAGAGTGGAAACCAGATGTTCCTGGGCGTACGGTCCTCCACCTCTCAATGATTAAGGTTATTAGCACATTAAAATTAATTTTGCAGGTGTGTTTGCATTACATGACCAGAGAGTCAGGCTCACCTAAAATAAAAAGGAATAGGGAATTGTCTGTGATCAAAGTTTGTGGTCTGTTGCAGTACTACAGCAGGAGAGAGGTGTAAAGGTGTAGTAGACAGTGGTCCAAAATGCCTATCGAACACTAATTAGCTACAAGCCTAACTTTTCTTATTTTTAAAAGAGATAAGACCAGGCTAAGTTCATATCTCATGGTTAGGCTCAAATAAGAATATATGCAAATCACTTCGCAAACCTTATAGGGCTACATAAATAACAGCTTTATTACTTTAAGATTAACTGAGGTTGTCAGCTGTCAAAAAGGATATTTTAGAGCTGTTTACAAAGCCACCACATCTGCCATAAAACTTTTATACATAAGTCATAATTGTTTATGGCTTTATTTCCACTGAAGAAAAGGAAATGATGCTAAATTGCTTAATAAGTTTGGTAGTACTCTCACTTTAATGGTTATTGCTAAACAGAATGAGTTTTAAGGGAGACTCTAGAATCCCTTCTAGAACTCGGGAGTTTCTTCAGGCAAAAGAATGACCCATTTAATAGTTTTAGTTTCTACCTTTTTATATCTATTCTAAGAAATCAGAGTCTCTTTTCATTTCTCTATCTTAATTAGTTTTAAACAATGCAGCAACAACACCACTCCTCCTACCAAGAAAGAACTGACCAAATTATGTCATTACCAGGATTTTTATTTTTAAATACATCATTTCTTTCAGAGCTAACAACTTAAAAGTATATGTGCTACTCTCTCTGTCTACATGGACACACCCCAAAGGCAAATTACATAAGGAACAGAGGCATTAGGACAAGAACAGTCATATTTCTAAAGCCACTTACCAAATTTGTCACCAAAAACTAGACACCACTGATTTAGCTTTTCAGTTTTTTTTTTGTGAGATAAGATTTGGGAAATTCAGCCATTTTCTCTCCCTCACTACCTCATAAAATCTCAGGGCAACTAGGTGACCCAGTGGATAGAGACTGGGCCTGAAGTGAGGAAGACTCCTTTTCCTGAGTTCAAATCTGGACTCAGATATTTAATAGTTGTCTGTGACCCTGGTCACAGACCAGGTGTCTCCTCTACAACATCCCTGACAAGTGAACCTCTGATGGAACACTGTTAGTGATAGCTCATTAATTCAAAAAGCAACCATTAATGGGCAGTTCTAGCAGTGAGAAATGTCTAATTTTATACAGCATATTAAACACACTCAACGAATATTATCTCACTTGAGATTCACAACAACCCTGGAAATAGTTATTATCCCCATTTTACAGATGAGAAAACTGGGGCAAATTGAAGTTAAGTGACCTGTCCAGGGTCCCACAGCTAGTTAAGTGTCTGATGCTGAATCTGAACTCAAGTCCTCCTGACTCCAAACCCAGGGCTCTATCCACTCTCTGACCTAGCTTCTCCAACAAATGGAATCTCCTCTGTGGTTCTATAAGAGGTCTACTTTTTCTTGATGATAGTGATGTTCTCCTAGTGTATTCTCCCTCTGGGTCAACAAGCAATTCTTTTATTAAATAGTTTATTCCCTCTGATCGTTTTCCTGGTTGTCTTCCTCTATACTGGCTAGTCTGTCAAAGCCTCTCTAAAAATGTGACATTGACGACTGGACACAAGACTCCAGATGTGGTTTGATCAGAATCTACCTGGACTACAAAACCTCTATTACCTAAGATGGAACTGTACATACTTAACTTGAGTATATGCAGCTCTTTTATCTAATTAACTTGAGCATATGCAGCTCTTTTATCTAATTAATTAACTTGAGTATATGCAGCTCTTTTATCTCAAGGAAGTCAAAACACTTAATCCTTGAATTAATTTGTTAACCCAGCAAAGGAGAACAATTCACGTTTACAGGAAGCTTCAAAGTTTATGACCTTTTCTTAAAATAACTTCATAAGACAGATCTAATTCAAGCACAAAAACATCAACCCAAGAGCATAGATGAAGTGACCAGCCTAGGGTCACACTGCCAGAAGTGACCGAACTAGACTCAAACCCTGGATTCCTGAATTCAAGTCCTTCAGTCTTTCAAAAAAAAAAAGTTTATTAAGGCTTTTTGTTTTTATATCAAGTTATTTCTGGATAGGCCGCCCCTCCCCCCCACCCAACCCCCACTTAAAAGAACCTTCTCGGATAACACGGAAAAAGTCAAGCAAAAAATAAACGATTCGGGGACCTCATCAAACGGTATGCGCTATTCTGCCCCCGTAGCCCCTGCTTAACAGGGGCGGAATGAAGGCAGAAAGTAAACCACCTGCCCAGCGCAGCAGCTGCATCCCGGATTCAGCACGTGCGGGGGACCCTCGGGGTGGGGGCGGGGGCCGGCGGAAAGGGTGGGGGAGGGGTCTTGGAGGGCCCCGGCCCCGGAGCTCCTTTCCCCTGCCCTCTGAGGTCGGACGGCCGGCTCCGGGGGTGGGGGTGGGAGTTTACATGTCCGCCCCCCTTCCCAGCCACCGCCCGGGATCTCACCCGCCGCCAGGCACAGGCCGCGGACGCTCCCCATGGCCGCCAGTGAGTGCACGTCCTTCCCTGCGCAGAGCAGCCCAGCCAGCTGCCACCTGCCCGGCTCCGGCACTCAAAGTCATCAAGGACCCAATGACGTGGTGCCTGGGCTGCCTGCACCACCGCCAGCACCGCCCCACTCCACCCACGTGGTGCCCTCGGGGGACGGAAGAGGGAGCGGATCGGCCTCTGGGTTGGGTTATGCTGCTCCTCTGTGGCACGTAGCTTATGTCGTTGGTTCTAACTTGTGCTTAGTGCCTGAAGCTCATTTAAAAAGATGTGATTTTTGTTGTTAAATTGCCCTCTTCTCCACACACTACCTGCCTTTTTAGAAATGGATCATATAAAGGGTTTCCTACGATTTCAGCATCCTGGAAAAAGCACTAGCTTGAGAGTCAGAATACCTTGGTTCTGGTTTCGTCTCCAGTTTATTCTGTCTATATCTTGTTAGTACATAGTTTTTGCATATTGTCTCCCTCTTTAGACTCCGAGCTCCTTAAAGGCAAGGACTGTCTTTTACCTTTCTTTGTGCCCTTAGCACAGTGCCAGGCACAGAGTAGGCACACAGTAGGATCTGACTGCTCTAGCATTGCTTTCTATGACTTTAAGCAATCAAAAAACGTTCTGCACAGTCAGGAATTTCAAGGGAGTCAGATTACTCATTCTTTGAATTTATTTGCATCAATGCTGCTAAAGAGAACAATTCACATTTACAGGAAGCTTCAAGGTTTACCACACCTTTTCTCACATTTATTAAGTGCTTACTATGTGTCAGGCACTGTGCTAATAGATACAAAAAATAGGCAAAAGACAGTCTCTGCTCTCAGGGTAGGATGAAGATATATTGAAGTGGAAAGTATCAGAGAGGAGGAAGGTTGATGTTTCATCTGGACTAGATGCTCATGTCCTTTCCAACTTTTAAGATTATAATTTCTTGAATCGCATGGATGGCCCATTGGGTCCCATTACTAAGGAATAAATAACCTATGCATTGTCTTATAGTGGTCTTCCCCAGCATTGGGGAGTGGAGAAGATCCAACAGCATACTTTTCATGTTATGTATAATATACATTGACATTTACTCCTAGTTTTTTTTTTAAAGGATTCAACTAACTTTTTGATTCCGTCACTTTTAAAACGTATTTCTCACAGCAGTCCAGTCCTTGAACCAAAGTCAAGGCCATCCAGAGGTGAACAATGAAGTGGGACAAGGGTGAGGATAGATAGAATTAGGAGTAGCGTGGGGAAAAGAGAGAAAGGAGGAGCCAGAGATGAGAAGACAGGAGAAGGGAGTCTACAATAAGAAAAAACGCCTTCCTCGAGTTGAGCTTCTCTGCCCCATCCCAGGCTATTTCTGTTCAGGCTTTGCTTCGGACAGCCTCGCTCCTCCGTGATTGGCCTCCGCCGGGGTCCTCGCGCCTGTCCAATATGTCGGCGCCCAGTGGTGGAGTGAATTGTGAGGAGATCGCAGAGTTTCAGGTGAGAGGCCCCCTTGCGCCCAGCGCACCCCAACTTCCCAGGCCCGCGGGGCCCGTATTCCCGCTTGGGCCGGGGGAGTGAGCCGGGTTCTGCTCGGGCGGAGGAGCGGAGTGAGAGGCCCTTTTCCTCAGGGCCCTTGGAGGTCACGGAGGGGCGAGGACGCCGCTCGAGGGGTGAGGGGGGGCGGGGTCCCCTGCCACGCGGCCCCGGTCCCCGCCTGCTGCGAGCTCCTCTCAGCTCGGGACCGGGGACACGGGGAGGCCGGAGCAGCTGGTGGCTCTGGGCCCCCGTGGGGAACAGCAAAAGGTCCCATCCCCCAGGAGTGGTAGCCTCGGACCCGGCGCGGAATGAATGGGGGTGACCCTGAGAACACCGCCTGGTCTGGTCTCCCAGCCCCCCACCCCCATCCCCGCCTGGCTAGTGAGGGAGGAGCAGTACCGTGCAGGTGGTGAGAGAAGAGAGGGATACACACCGAGAAAGAGTGAGTGTGTGTGCGCGAGTGTAGACACGTGTTCGCGGGGGGGGGTTGTCTAGTGTCTGTCTCATGCTGTTTTCCTGTCTCCCTTCTTCCCTCCTTCTCTCCCTCCCTCTCTCTGTTTACCACTTTGGGTGTGTTTGTCTGTATGTCTGTGTCTGAGTTTGGTTCTAGTTATGTATGTGCGTGTGTTTAGTACCAGTTTGGGAAGCAGGTTTGTCTGAGTTTGGTACCAGTTAGCTCTCCGTCTCCATCTTCCCCTCCGCTTCTCTCTCTCTTCTCCCCCCCCCCCCCGTTTGGGGGGGGGGGGGGGGAGGTTGAGGGTGTTACAGTTTGGGGATAGCTGTGTGTGTCTTCTGGTGCTCACTGGCAACCAAGTTAAAACGTGCAATTCAAGTGGAACCGAAAATTGAATTTTGGATCCCCTCCCCGGGAATTTTTATGAAGTTTGTTTTTACAAGCCAAAGAGATGAATGCTTGGGAGGGAAAACCTTCAGAAACCTACACTGGAGCCCTACCAATGCCTTTTGTCCCGCTAGAGAAAAAAGTTAAAATAGACTGAAGAGAAAAAAAAGCCACCTGTAAGATTAAATCCCAGAGCAGATCCAGATAACTCTAGCATTATGAAGGAATTTTGGAATACACTGCAGAGGGTGTCCAATTATGGAAGGAAAATATAGTTGTTTATTTAAACTCAACATGCATTCTAATGACAGTTTTCATAATTATGTGGACTTTTGGGGGGGAGGGGGATATTTTAAAATCCTTTACTCCCCACAGTGATTAACCACATTTTCCATGTACATGGAAACCTACTCTAAAGGTAAATGTTTATTCAAGTATTTGAGATTTCAGAGTAATCTGGTCTTGCTAAAGAAAATTTCGTATTAGGCCTAAGTTTAGGTACCCAATACATGAAATATTAATGTCTTATATCTTGTACAATACTAGAAGTGGACTTGTCCTTGAAGGCCGTTTGGGGCCACCCCTGTATTTTGCATATCAGACACTTAAGGCCTTTCACTAGAGCCGGAGGCAGCTGGGTGGCACAATGGATTGAATCCAGCCTGGAGTCAGGAAGGACCCGAGTTCAAGCTTGTAATAAATGCTTATTCCATCCATACATCTTAAGAAGATATCAATGATCCAGTTTCAGTAGGACATGTAGTTGAAGTGATTATTCTACTAAACATAAGATTTGATATTTTGCATATGTGATTTCATTGGTGTAGGGAACTTTAAGGTGAGGATATTCTATCAGTCAACAGGCATAGGTAACTGTTTTGCAATTTATAGCCTTTGAAAGTTGCCCAGGGAATACTTGATAAGCTTAAGTAATTGGCAATCATCCAGCCATTATGTGTTGGAGGCATAACTTGAAACCCAAGTTTTCCTAATTGAGGCAAACTATCCACAGTGTATACATTTAGTATACAGATGGAAATGATCTTTGCAGGTCATTTTTTACAGATTATATGCCACTTTGTTTTCCTAAGTCATCCAAAATTTACGTGTTTCACCCTCCATTACAAGTGTCTTCTCTTAACTGATTTCTTAGCCATGGTCATTTTCTTAAAACTGGTCCTCATGTAAATATGTCATGTGAGCATAGTCTGGCAGAGTTTGATTTATCTTCATCAGATTCAGCCTTCCTCATGTTACAGGTGAGAAAACTAGGGCCCTGGATGGTGAAATGCTTTGATCAAGGTCATACTGCTGTTTAGTGGCAGAACTAATACTAGACCCAGGTCACTTGACTACCAAGCGCCTGACATTGCCACTATGTTATCAGAACCACCTTCTGACAATAGCAATGTCTCAGTCTTCACTCTGAGAACACCACCTCTCTATCAGGAGGTGGGCAGCATGCTTTTTAATGTATCCTTTAGAATCATGGTTGATCAGAGTTCCCACGTTTTTCAAAGTTTTTTGTCTTTACAATATTGTTATTATAAATTGTTTTCTTGATTCTTCTTACCTCAACTCTGCATCAGTTTGTACAAGTTTTCCCAGAGTTTGTCTGAAACTTTTCTCATTATTTTTTTTTCAGCGCAATAGTATTCCATCACAACCATATACCATAACGTCTTCAGCCACTTTTCAACTAATGAACTCGGTTTCCAATTCTTTGCCAGGATAAATAGACCTATAAATATTTTATAGATAGGAGTCCTTTTCCTCTTTTTTTTTTTTTAAATCTCTTTGGGAGTGTTAACCTAGTAGCAGTATTGCTGGGTCAAATGACAGGCACAGTTTAAAAGTTTTGGGGCATGGTTCTAAACTGCTCTCCAGAATGGCTGAACCAATTCAATGTGTTGCTCTTTGTATAAGAAAATAATATTATTAACTTACCTTCTCTCCTTATAGGTTTGTTTACCCTTTCATCTGATCTCTTGTGTTATACATTTAGATTTGAATTGTCACTAAGCTAGGAGTACTACCTGTTTTTAAAAATTGTTTTCTTGTGTAAAGTTGACTGACACATTCCAAGCAAACTTGTGACTTCTCTATACCCAGATCAACCAGGTTTCCCTAGTCCAGACATTTTAGCGATCTTAAGCCAGAGGTTCTGTCCTACTTTTCCAAAATTCTAGGTTCTTGAAACATGTGTTGACTTTCTGTAGGAACCAAGAATCTAAAATCTGGAAGGGACACAGGTGTCAGTCTAATTTACACCATTACAACATTCCTGGGACTTCTACAAGAAAAACCCTCATGATAGGGTACTCAGTAGGGGAGGTCTAAAACTACCTGCAGTGCATAAAGCTTTATGCTAAGTACTATGAATGCAGCAGTTAAAAATGAATTAGTTCCTTCAGTCAAGGAGTTTGCATTCTATGGTTTGGGATGTCCTTTTATTATGAATTTTTAAAAATAGTTAATATTTTTAAAAGTTTATGAAATTTTCCATTTTATAAGCAACAGGTGTGTTGCAACATTGTTTTTCATCAAAATTCTCTTATTCTTTCAGGACATGAAAAAACATAAAAAGGAAGGACATTATTCTAGTTATGAACTTGAGCAGTTTGACTTCACCTCCCTCAGCCTTGGTTTCCTCATTCATTAAAGGGGATTGGATTAGATAATCTCTAAATTCCCTTCCAGTGCTA